AGCATCCGGGATGCGCCCCCTTCGCCGCCCGGCCCCGCACCCCCGGCCCATTTGCAAACCCGAAGACCTCGCAGGAAGAGGACATGAAGAAGCGGCGGCGGCGGCGACATCTGCAGCGCCGGACCAGAGCAGCCCCAGTGCATCAACTTACCCCTCACCGTGGGGAGAGGGACCAGACGGGAGAGGCAGGGTGCGTCGCGTCCCGTGAGTCTGTCGCACGCCGTCCTCACCCCTTCCTGCCGTCGTCCTCGTCGCTGCCGCCGCGGTCGAGCTCCGGGCCTCTAGGCTCCGCCGGGCAATAACGTTATTCCACACACGCCCCACACATAGCGGTAACGGCAGAGAGCGGCCGCCTAGTGCGCAGGCGCCTGGGGAAAGGGCGACGGGCCGATGCGCGTCCCCTCTCCCAGCCCGGCCCCGACAATCTCGGACTGCGCAGACGCCAAGAACAGACAATGAAAGGGGGTTGTGCAGAGCGTCTCACCCACACGCCTTTTCAGCCGCCCACTGCGCAGGCGTGCCCCCAAACCAACTTGAACAATAAAGAGGTCTCCGGCATTCGCGGAACCGCAACCAACGAGGACTACAATTCCCAGAGGGCAGTGCGCCAAGTCCAGCGGGAGGGCCACTCGCCTGGCGCGCTCGGGTTTATATTGTTGGCCACCTCACAATATAGACCCTCAAGGGTGTTCGGAAGGTTTAGAGCTGTTTTTCCTTGAGAACTTGTTTGACCATTGTGACAGATTTCACAACTGAAACCGAATCCGGAACTTGTCAGCTAAGTCCTTTAGAAGTTTGAGGAATCAGTTGTGTATGAGCACATTTTGAAGACCCGAAGCCTTCAGAGCGCTTTACTGCAGTGATCCAGATGGAAAGATGAAGGCGGGATGAAGCGGGCTGGACTAGAAGAAAAAGGCGGGTCCTCCAAGCAGTTTCTTGGCAACAGGCTCTGGCAACCGAACCACTGAAGTTTCGTCGCGGTGCCCTCTGGGAATTGTAGTGTATTGGGGAGGCCTCTTAATGTGTCGTGGCTGGAGGCTCAGGACCTTTAGACTACCACTCCCTGCGTCCACCTTAAAGAACTCCGTCCTGGGTTCCAGGCTCCCCAGTGACAGAAGAGGCAGGAAGCAGCGGGCGCGCTCCAGGCTTTAGGCCTGTTCTCGGAGGGGAGCACTCTGGGCTCATCCCCACGTAGCTCCCATCTCTGGGCCCCGGGTCCCTGCATGGAGAAGTCCCCAGGGAACTGTGCCCTGGAGGAGATTCTAGGGCAATATCAGCGGAGTCTCCGGGGTGAGTTACCCCGAACCACTGCACCCCAGCCCCTTGGTTCCCAGGTCCTAGTGGGTGGGAGCTGACCAAGTGCGGTCCTGACACCTTAGTTTGGCCCCAGCCTGGCTGCGTCGGAGGAAGATGGATATTGCTCGCATCTTTAAGGAAGGCGGAAATATTTGGATTTTTTTATGACGGTTAAGCGGAAGCGCTTGCTTTGATTCTCATGGTAACCTGTACCAGCTCTGTGCTCTTGGGCATTTTTCTCAACCACTGTCAGCAGAAACTCATGGACAGCTTTATACATCTTTTGTCCAGTTCACATACTTTGCTTTTTAAACCAATTTGGTTATGATTCTCACTTTTCACACACCCAATAAAGTGGAATGAAAGTGATAGTAGAGAGGGGAAGTTAATAACTATTTTAATCGAAATAGCTTCCATTTATCTGCACACATGACTAAAACTAAACCCACTACCAGCTTGTCAATTCGGACGCATAACGACCCTATATAGGCTTTCTGAGATTATAAATCTTTACAAGAATAGACAGCCTCATATGTCTGTCAATATGGGCCTGATGGATTTGAGCTACGGACTTGCAGTTAGCAACCCACATTTGCTCATTTAAAACTTCAAACCTTTCAATTATTCCTATTTCACACCCAGAAAAATCGAGGTTAAGAGAGGTTAAATTACATGCTAAAGGCCACACAGCTGTTTACTGACCAATCCAGCGATTGAATGTATTCCTGCTTTCCTTCAAGTCTATACTTGCATATATTTTTCTTTATTAACCCAAATCATAGTCACTATTATCAAAACCTTATTCAATTCAGATATTCGTGATACATTTTTTCAGTGGGTGATTGCCATACTTTTAGTCAGTGGCTCTGCCATCTTGGACAACATATATAACCCTAGAGAGGACAGTTTTTGCTATAAGTGGAGGGTTGAATTTCTTGTAAGAAACAAATGAAATAATCCATGTAAGGTGGAGATTTTCATACCTGTTTTTCCACAGTCACTTATAGTAAAAACTATTTTACATGAGACATCTTCATGAGGTAAATAAATATTTTCATGAAAGAAAATGTACCCTGTTACATGAGACTATTTTCCATTTTCATAATGGATAGTTTATGATTTCAGCCATTTAGAACATCAACTTTTTTTAATGTCAACTTATTTTAGCTTGGTGTCTACTATGTATTTGGCATAGAAGATGCTGGAACACAGTGAAGGATAAGCACTGTCTCTTTCCCAGTATAGTCTCTGGCTAATCAGGGAGAAAAATAATAAAATAATAACAGATCTTTATAACAAAATAAAGGTAAAAATCAATGCTTGGGGAAAAACTGACAAAAAAGTAAAGATTTTCCAAGAAATTATAAAGTTTGTTTTCTAGTGACTCGAGTCTAGACCTTAAAAGGCTATTACTTATATTTACATATGACAACAGTGTTATAGTCAACATTCTCATTAGTCAAAGTATGGGAGTAAAAGACATGGTTTAATGATGTTTTCAAAGCTGTTAGATAAATAACCACTTACAAATTTTCATTGAAAGTAAGAAAAGTACTATGCTCAGTAAGTACTTACGTTTAATTTCTAAGGTTAGTAACATGTTTTGCTTTCCATTATAAGTATCTCTTTAATACCTTTAACCTTATTTTGAACCTTTAAGCAGATAAACTATTTAATACTAGGTATTTTGATGTATGTAGTAAAGGAGTTCATTGTAAATTCATGTTGTAGTAATATGTTTAATACTAGTGGTACTGCATTCAGTAATGATAGAGTAAATAATTTTCTTTCAGATATAATAACTTTTGAAGTCCTTTTTTTAATTGTGATAATAGTAAAAGCATAACCAAATGCAAACATAAAGACATAGAAAATAACATTTCTTTAGATTCTTAACTCCTAGTTTTAACAGTTTTTCAAGAAATTAAATCTGATTTTTCCATAGGTGTTTAGGATTTATTATTTATTTAAAATCATTTTAGTTTTTGTTCATCTATCTAATGACTTCTGGAAGGAAGCAAAACATAACTAACATTGAACTTAAGCACAATTCCAAGTTCACTGTATGAATGCAAACTACCACACGTTAAGGAATAACCTGTTGCCTTTGAGACTATTCCTGTTCTTGGCACCCCGCGACAGCACAACTCTTTTCTTCACCTTTCTTGCTGTGATCACTACAGAAGCTTTCTTGTCTGTCATCGCTGTAGAAACAAATCGCCAGCCATTTCTTCTAAAGTGTTGATGTATGAGTTTGAACCACCAAATCAAAATTTGCATTCCCACGTAAGCAAAGGATGGAGTTGTTTGATATATGACAATTATTTTGACTGTTAAGCTTAATAATTTTTTTAATCAATTTATTGGGGCTCATACAATTCATCACAATACATAGATCAATTGTGTAAAGCACATCTATACATTTGTTGCCCTCATTATTCCCAAAATTCGCTTGCCTCTTGGGTTCCCAGAATCCACTCATTTTCCTTTTTTTTTTTCCCCCTCCCCTTCCCTTCCTCCTCCCCTCTCCCCCATGCACCCTTAATAATTTATAAATTATTATTGTATCTTATATTAAACTGTCTGGCGTCTCCCTTCACCCACCCTTCTGCCGCCCGTCCCCCAGAGAGGAGGTTATATGTGGCTCCCTGTGATCCATTCCCCCTTACTACATCCCCTTTCCCTCCTGGTATCACCACTGTCACCCCTGGTCCTGAGAGGTTCCTCTGTCCTAGATTCCCTGCATTTCCAATTCCCATCTGTACCGCGGTGCATCATCTGGTCTAACCAGGTCTGCAAGGCAAAATTGGGGTCCTGGTAGTTGGGGGGTAAGCTTAATAATTTAAGGATTATAGTAGACGAGTGCAATCAGCTGGAATACCATTTTAGAGTTCATTCATCTTATATTGCTTTGGGTTTTGTTGGTTTATTTGGTTTTGTGCAATCACCATTACTTCTCCAAGTGTCTCGCCTACTTCATTCTTTAAAAATTCACTAAACTCACTGCCCTGGCTGACTCATAGTGACTCCTGTGTGGGTTTCTGAGCCTGTAATTGTTTATAGGAGGAGAAAAACGCAGTCTTTCTCCTACTGAGCTGCGGATGGTTTCAATTTGCAGATACCATGGATCGCAGACTACTCATAGCCACTACGCCACCCGGCTCCTTCATACTTAAACATTAATAAATGTCCTTGGTCTCCCCTCACAAGTTACTCCTGTGTTAGTAAATAACTACGGGTAAAGATGATTCATTTCCTTCATTTATGTTCATTTATGCAATATACTAAACAATTTTCCATGATAAGTTCTCCATTTTTATAGATTTTCTTATTGCTTTACTTTAAATATAAGTTTGCAGTTATATTAAAAAGAATCCTGGTGGCACAGGGGGTTAGGCACTGGGTTGCTCACGCAAGGTAGGTTCCTCTAGCTCACTAACTGCTCTGCTCCTATAAAGATTGATAGTCTAAGGAACCCTCTATAAGGTGGAATCAACTCCAGAACAATGGGTGAGTTTATACTTTCGGGAGCACAGAATGGCTAAGAACTATTTTAGTAACAGGAAAATATAGCAAATGTCCCTGCTCTAATTAAATTCACCATTATAAAAAGGTCATACAGTATTAAATAAACTACCATATATACTCATGTATAAGCTGAGTTTTTCAGCACATTTTTAATGCATTTTTTGTGGTACGTACTTACAAATGTACAAAAACGAGTATGTACGGCACGTGCTTCCAGGATAACAAAGGATTAGAAAAGCAAAAATAACAGGCAATCCAGGATCTATTTTTAAGTTCTATAGACTTGAATGTGGGGATATGACATTATTAGATAGGCAATGCCCCAATTAATTGCTGCAGTATTAGGGATGAATACCATTTTACCAAAAATATACCTTGTAAAAATGGAGTGCTGGTGGCATCTGACCTCCTCTCACTTCACAAACAGGGTGGAGAATAAAGATCAACAACCCTAGGCTGATTCCTAGGAAAACTTAAACGTAAGAAAGCTTACTTTATGGATTGACACATTCTGTGGCTGCCTCTCTCAGTAGGCTGGGAAGCATGCCACAGCTATCTCCTGGATGTGTTGATGCCATTTCTCTGCCACTGGATTCTACTGTGCTTGTCAACACTTTTCACTGGCTCTAGTGTCACAGATCTCTACATTTCTTGGATCTCGGTAGCTCGTAGTGCAGATACTCTGGGTACAAAGGATGTAGGCTGCTTCCATCTCTTCTTGGTGGTAATGAGTGTAGTTCTGCTCAGTTAGAGCCTCGTAAAATGGCAAAACTGGCCAATCCCTAGTTAGGTTTCTTTACAACTTAACTGCATGTTCCTACTAATCATTTTGTGGAGGTTACAACATTATGGCTAGAAAAGGTCATAGAAAAGCAATTCAGTGTGACACAATCATGTGCAAGGGTAGGTCAAAAAGTATTTCTGTAAGTTTTCTAGTTCATACTTGCAAAGGTCTATTCAAAGCAAAATATGCTTAAATATGTCTCTGTGACCACTATTACAGAAAACTTCTTTCAGTAATACACTTGTCTTAGCTTCATTGGGGTGCCTTCAAAAAAACAGGGTCTAATCAAAACAGTGACTTCGAAGGGGATTGGCTGGGTCAGTTACATTCAAGTCAGAGGTTAGCATAGAAGGTAATAATGGCAACTGCTTTTTGAAATTCCAAAGTGGTCACAAGATTTCCTTGAAGGACACAGAAAGATGATGGTGGTGTATTAGGAAGAAGTTTTAAGAAATTTAAAAAGCATTAGTGAGAAAAAGGCCAGGAAAATTGTCCTGAGGGATTTCCTCCCCCCATCACATCAATGTATCTTATCCTTTTATTTGAGGGTAGGGCTGTCCTATGCCGTTGCATTGGAAAACCGTACCCCAAAAACCCTTAAGCACCTGATCTCACCAACTCCAGACTCGCTCTTCTCTTCATTCAAAGAACATTTATTTATTTATTTTTAAGTCATTTCATT